CGTACATTTACAACTAGCATTTGCTCATTTAAAAAGAATACAGTGTATAGTCACAGAAATTTCATCCTTAGCATCATAAAGAAAACGCAATTTAGACCCCAATCATAGAGCAACAATTGCCTCGGTAAATGTAGAAATGGTTCTTTTCCAATAAAAATGCGACGGACAATCTCATTTGATGAGACATTTTGTTCTTGAGCAACAAGTGAGTTTTCTTGCACATAAACATTTTTTGACAATTCCATTAATAATTTTGAAACAAATTTTTACGCTAGACAGCAAACAGACTCATGTTGTAAAACAAGTATCGTCCATTTGATCAAATTTTTTATTGAGTGTTTCTTGGTCTTCTGAAGGTTTGGAACGACTTGACCCAGCACCGCTTCTGCCGCTTCGTACAGATTCCATTCGGATTTTTCGACTTTTGCGTTTAAATTCTTCAACTTGTTTTCTTTTCTCTCTTTTGAAGAATCCACACTATAAAAAAAGGATTGAAAAAAGTTTCTGTTTAAGTTACAGGCACTTGTTTAGTATACGGGGCACCCTTGCCTTGCCTTTTTTATCACGTTCTAAAAAAAGGAGTGCCCTGTATACGAAACAATTGCCTGTGGTTTAAGTCATGCAATGTAATTAACTTAATAAAATACAAGATGATTATACAATAAAGCACCATTTACAGAACAAATCTGAAGTCATATATTAGCAACAGTAAATCATATTCATACATATTGGTGCATTATAAAACATTCATATGATCCAATACGAGGATTTTTCGAAAAGTTCGTGGACTCCACCTGACATATCTTTATAAATAGTCCCCCGCTTTCGTGAAAGCGAGGGGACATTAAGGTAGAGACCGACAGCAATCACGTGATAGACAGAATTCGCATACTAGCACGTGCCGTTTTTCCGGATTCCATAATGCCGCCAGATAACTATTCTCAAATTACACATTATTGTCTATTGATACAAGATGGCCGACGAGCCAGACGATTCGGGCTCTCGGAAATTTCATCGTCTTAAAGGCAAGTTTTCGACCCAGATCAAAACATGGCGGTCATCGAGATTAAAGAATATCAATAACAAACGAAACATCGGTGAAATCAAAATAGACCATGAGTATACCATTAATGAAAACACACCTTGTCCACCAGCTCCAGCGCCGGTCAACATACATGTATCTAGCATGCCTGACGTGGCGTTGAACATAGACGTGAAAGACTGTGACACTGATGACATTAATTGGTATGATGGGAGGAGGGATATTGAAATTAAACATCTTGCGGATCAAATGCATTGTTCACAGTGTCAGTCACATCTGCATCTGTCGGATATATCAGGTGAATAATTACAAAGTTCTATATGATATACAGATGTGTGCCAACATTGATGATAATTTTATTTTATTTTTTTTAAATAATATTTTGGATGGAAAACAACATTTTCTGAAGTCACTGGTAGGACAAAAATTCTTAATGACAGATTTTACCACAAATATCTTGATAAGATTCCAAGATTTTTTTTTGTTTTTGACAAAGCAACATTTTATCTGATCAGCAACGATGTTTTAAAAATATTGTAATTTAACATAGAACAAGTACAACGTAATGCAGCCAGATTTGTAAACAACAAATCTAATCTCAGTCACAGTCACTGTCTTAAATAATCTTACCATACCACTGCTGAATCAATATTTATCAACATCCTCATGGATTTTTGTGAGTATCAACACATGCTACACTGAAGTTGAAGTAAATGCAACATGAAAATTCAAGTAACAAACATGACATATTTTGGATTTAGAGAAACAATAAACACTCCTATTAATCCCATATTTAAGATTTGATAACAATGTTGATGCTGCAATTTCACCCCTTAACAAAGATGAACGCATTTTACACGGGTTAACTATGATGACTGAGGAGGAGATGGTATTTGTCCACGACATCTGTACATTGGAAACCCATGCACTAGCGTTGAGACGTCACACAGTACATATTGTTATGCCCCTTGAATTTGGGGGTCGATGAAAATGACATATCCACTTGACTTTTCAATTTGCAACATAGGACGTTTGATTTTTATCACAAAACACTCTAAATATCATTTGTATAAAATATGGTTTAAAACTGAAAACTTAGAATTTCATATCACATTTGAATATGTGTTTCTTTATATGTTAAGTATATAATCTTTTATTGGATGCAAATATTTCAAGCTTAGGTCAATTTATAGATTTAATTTTTGTTCATTTTTTTTTTTGGTTTTTGAAATGTATGTTTTTGATGCTATCTGATTATATAAAATTATACTTTCTTGGAAAACACTTGTAAAGTACCTAGCTTGATGATGTTTGATATGCTATAAATGGTACAAATCTGTAAAAATATAGTTTTAATTCCTGATTGTGAATGGGTGACCATTGTACTGGCATATTATTGAATATATTCATGCACTTAAAAAATGTTTGAACCATTTCTTGAGTTTAAAAATTTTAAATCATAAGTATATGATAGTTATTTGTAAAATGGGATGCCTTTCCATTATATCCTTAAAAAATGATTTCATATTGGATAAATTATAATTGTTCTCTGGTCTAAAAATAATATTAATACATGTATACATAGCCCATGTCTATAAATTAATATAAACTATACAAATGAATTTTGACACAATACATGTACAGTTAATTGACTTAATTTTTAGAACATGTGGATTGATCTTGTTTATAAAACTTCAAAGCCACAAGATGTTTTATTTAGAATAATCAATTAGGATTAATTGTTTTATTTTAGACACATCTTTGATATGAGCAAAGTCTATATCTTTTTTAATGTAAGTGCACAAAGGTCACCAAGGGCAATATTTGTCTAATATAAAACTATTTGCTTTTCTAATATAAAATATAATTTAAAAGTTTGCTCTATATGCACAAATTATTTGCACAATTTCTTCAAAAACCTTTGGTGTCTGAGAATTCTTGATAATCTAGCTATTTTACTGTAGTAGATGTAATCTTCAAAGGTGAATCATTTACTTAGGAAAGGGTAACTAGGGTATAATATCTGACTACTGATGACAGGCAGTCTTCATTTATAACAGTTTAATACCTAACACATTTTTATTTGATAATCTTTAAAACAAGGATAACATGCTGTGCATTGATTCTGTTCACAAACCCTCATTTTTACTGGGTTTTCTTATACATGTTATACATGTATTTGAAATGAAAAAGTATTAAAGAAACTGAATTTAATACTAATTAATGTTGCCAATTTTTGAAGATAACAAAGATCAGACTGAGTTTGTTTTTGCACAGGATTAGTCAAAAGATATTATTGTCATTGATATTTCATCCAAGAATTATATGTATAATGAATCTATAAAAGTCAATTTTAACGTTATAAAGAAAAGTTCTTATCATTTTTAATGTTAGTGCAAAAAGGTCAACCAGGGCAATATGTGTCTAGGATGTACATGTATAAATTGATTTTCTGATATAAAATGTAATTAAGAAGAATATCGCAAAGAATTTACTAATTTTCAGTGAAATATTTGGATTTATTCTTGATAATCTCTCTTAGTCACCATATTCTTCAAAAGTGCATCCTTTGTAAAGGAAGGGGGTAGGGGAGGGTGTAAGATTATAAACATGAGCCAAGTTGAAATTAAACCCCATTATGTAATATGATTTTTTTATGAAATTTAAAAAACTTATTGACAAACTATAATATGCAATAAAAAAAGAAATTTGATGGGTAATATTTTTGTAGTGGAAGCAGAAGTGTGAGTCTTTATGCAATGAATAGGCAATATTTAAGCCTAATTTGACCATGCATCTTGGTGAATGTAACTCTGTTTTCTGCTTACAATGCTTGATAAATTGAAGATTTATGTCAAATATTAATTCATATAGACAGATGTTTAAATTCATGTAAGATTAATGATAATTGATATAACAATAAAAAAATTATGGTCCTTTTCATATCTTATTCTTGTATTTTTTTACCCTGTTTTCTCAGCTCTTCAGTGGGTAATGAGGGCTATGTTAAAATTGTCAAATTTCTCGAAAATTAGCCCGATGACCTACCTTGAATTTTTAATATGATTTAGAACAAGGACTCAACACAAACATATAAAAAAATCAGAAAAATTCAATGGGTAGTTTTTTTGTTGACCACCTATCAATCTCTACCTTAAATCTCATTCGTCTGTCCGTCAGTCTGTCCGTCCGTCACAAAAACTTTGACCTTTCATTGGATACCAATAACCTTGACCTATTGACCTTGACCTTGGAGATTTCTGTACCTGTGAAAAAACTTCTTAACTTTAAATTTTGAGCGGTAAAAATAGGGCTTTTATACTTCATATATATAATAAATGTGAAAAGACCATTCATTGGATACAAAGAACTTTGACCTTTTGACCTTGGAGTTTGACCTACTTTAAAAAGCATACATTGACAATAACTTTTGAATTTTAGGGCTAGTGCTTTCATACTGCATATATTTAATTCTTGTGACAAGATAATTCATTGGATATCAAAAACTTTGACCTTTTGACCTTGGCCTTGGAGTTTGACCTACTTTTTAAAAACTTTAACCTTGGCCATAACTTTTGAATGATATATACTAGGACTTATATATATCACATATGCATTCTTTGTGGCAAGACCTTTTATTGGATACCAATGACTTTGACCTGTTGACCTTGACTTTGGAGATTTCCATACTTGTGAAACAACTTTAACCTTGACCATAACTTTTGAATGGTAAGGGCTAGGGCTTTCTTACTTCAGATATGCAACCCTTGTGCAAGGACCTTTTATTAGATACTATGAACTTGGATCCTTTGACCTTGGAGTTTAACCTACTTTTATAAAACAAACCTTGACTATAACTTTTTAAGGGTCAGGGCTAAGGCTTTCATGTTTCAAATATCTAATCCTTGTGACAGGGTCTTTCATTGGATATCATGAATGACCTTGAACTTCGGGCAATAATATATTTAATTTGCATTTCAGAAAAGTTTAATTTTTGGTCTTTTGCCATACGGGTCATCAATGTTTCACAAACACATCTTGTTCCTTATATTGAGAAGAGATATGGCATTCATATTTGACATGCGCATTTCCTGTGACAATATATTTCCAAGCATGCTATGATTTCTGACCCCTTGACCTTAACGATTGACCTTATTTTTTTTTTAAATCAACTTCAGTGATAATTTCTAAATGACATATGATAGGGAGTTCATATTTGAGACAATATTTCATAAAAAATGACATCTCACCCACAAAGACACCGAAAGCGGGGGACCACAATTCTTTGAATTTGCTTGTTTATTTAACGTCATAATATGCTATCCAAATCTAAATCCAAATGAATTGTATCAAAAACTTTTAAATTATCACGATTAATTTCAAACCTATCCGGAATTTGAAACTGCAAAAATCGGATCGCAGAGCAGGTCAAAAT